GGGGGGGGGGAGCGGGATAAGTAAGTAAGAGGTGACCTAATTTGCTTTTGCTTGCCAGCCAAATCATTCTAAGTATGTATAAAAGGTATCTTGGTGCCCATAATCGTGGGGGAGGGGGGCTCTCAATTTATTACTAAGTCTGGAGTCCAAAAGTGCTTTTAATTACAGCCCGGATTGCTTGCATGTACAAGGGCTGTACTTATGCACAGAGATGGACAGAATACTAAAATGAGAAATGGAACTCTTTATAGCATACTCTTCACAAAGAAAATGTGTATGATTTGTATGCTGCTTTTCCCCCCTCAGTCTACTCAAGAACCAGTTCCCATTTGTAGATCTTGATGGAGATCACTTTAGTACTTACCCGGTAAGTAAAGCCAACATGATTTTTCAGAACAGCATTTTGTGAAATCCATAAAACCTCTCCTTTCATGTGCTTTACAGTCTTGAAATACTGTTTCCTTTTGGGTGAAGGGGAATAATGACTACTCTGTTTTCTTTTTGGAAATCTAGTCATGAAGTTAAATTGCCCAGAGAAGCAAATTACTCTGCTAAGGGGCATCATATTTATTGAATTATTAATAAAAGTGAAACAAAGTTATTTGCAAAAAAATATTAAAATTTCAGAATGACCAATATGTAATTTTTCTGAAGATAGCTGGGAGGAAGATACTTGATTTGCCAGCCTCTCTTTTTTCTTCCTTTTCTTAGACTTTTTATTTTAGAAGTTTAATGCCTAAAGGGGAAAAGCAACAAAACAACACTCTCATTTTGCTTTTCTTCCTGATTAGAATTTGAGAGGGTATTACTGGAGAGGCCGAGACTGTGATGATACAAATGCTGCTGTGTACCCGGGTAGACGGTAAATTAGAAAATCTCATCTTTTAGAGTCATCATGCCTTTTCAGATAAATACTAAATTCCTTTTTATTCTAAGAAAAGTGATTTGGGAGGACTTGCAAATGGTTTGCTATATTCAATGGTGACACATAATCAAGAGCGTAGCAGAATGCTAAATCAGATCACTGTTATATCTGCTGCCTGCATTACTGCTACCCAACATCTAATCTTAGAGATGCCTATGCATTCCCCCCCCACCTCACCCCACCTCAAATGATTCTCGTTAGCAATTCCTGAAATCTTTTTGAGGATAAAGGAGGAAGACATGAAAAACAGGAATATACAAGAACGTTCAGGGAAATCTATTTATTTTATTGACACATTTTAATCCCCTCCTTTTCTCAAAAAGATTTAAAGATTGATAACAGAAAACATTCAAATTAAAACACAAACATAAAAACTACCTGAATGAAAACCAGCAGAGGACATGGTAATAAAATGGTCGCTGACAAATCAATTGGAACTTCAGAATAATTCTTAACTCTTAACAAATAGCCTTCTTCAAAAAAAGAGAGACCTTTTTGATACAACAAACAGTTATTAAAGAGATCTAAAGTACTGTATGGTATGAGATCTGGTTTGGTGTAGTGGTTAAGGCAGCAGGCTAGAGATTGTGAGTTGTAGTCCTACCTTAGGCACAAAGCCAGCTGGGTAACCATGGCCCAGTCTCTCTCTCTCAGCCCTAGGAAGGAGGCAATGGCAAACCACTACCAAAAAACCTTGCCAAGAAAACTGCAGGGACTAGTCACCAGGAGTCAAAAACTGGCTTGAAGGCACACACCCACACAGAGTATGGTACAGATACTGAAAGTACATTATTTATCCCATTTAGTAATATTTTAGAGATTCACTTAGTAAACTTGTATTTATTTCATTTGCAATATATTTAATATCATAGGAATGCTAAGCTATACCTTGAAACTCTCTCATTTTGATACATTCTTCAATTGCTTGGAAAAAGGCTGACAAGCTTTGCTTCATAATCTACTGGGATGACAGCCCATCTTCAAGTCTTAAGAAAGGAGGGACCTTTATTTTGTCATTAACTTTGAAACAAACCAAAAAAAAAAATGTTTCTGATTGGTGGGGTATCTCCAAACCAAGAATGATGTCTGAGATTTCTGTTAGGGATGAGGGAGAAATACCTCTGAAGAAAATGTGAAGTGAGGAAATCATCCTTCCAAAGTTGTATTCTGATTTCTCTGAGGCAATTTTATGAATCAAAATAAAACAAATGTGCATAATTAGTGGAAGCTGTATATAAAAATGCACTCTCCTTAGCTTCCAAAACATGTTATAATTCAGCTCAATCTTTAGCCCCACTCATTCTCTTACCCAAAGTGATCATCTCCACATATTACACATAGACCCCAGATAGAATTGCCTCTCTATATATATGCTCCAGGGATACACCTGTAGCAAATTACTTGATTCATGGGGTTTAAATGTAACCCTCTCATGCTACTAAGAGGATTATATTAGTGCTATTCAGTGAATGTGAATCTATGTGTCCACCTTATATTTCATACATTTCATATATCCCCTGTTCTTTCAGAAGAGAACTTTTGTTGAGGCTCTGCAATTCTTCAACTACTTGGTTTCTCTATCTGTTCTGAAAGATGGAGAACAAATATATTATACTATATCTTCATAGTTTTGTTTTTAAAGAAGACTGTGTCTGTTTAATGGAGTTTTGCAATTGTTTTTTAATTGCAATTGTATTTTAATTGTTTTCCATTTTAGCCCTGAGACCTGGGATGCAAAAGAAGATTCCAACTGTAATGGCATATCAGTGAGTTGAAAATTATCTTTCTTCTGATTTACTTCATAGGTTCTTGAAAATGTGAGCTTCCCTGGATTTTGAATAACAAAAGCACTAAATTCTTTCATAAACATCACTGTGGGTCTGTCCTGCCACAGAACTAGTTGTGTGAAATTTACTCCAAGCAGTGTGCTACTACTTATATGGGTTGATGGAACAGCCTTACAGTAACCTTTATTTTAGAGTTCAGGAGCAGCTGACAATAACATGAGAACACTTTCAATAAATAAACTCAATGAGCTCTCCCATGCACCGGTTCTCTACTAGGGAGCTGTTGGGACCCTCTTATTCTTATGGGGCCCTGACTTATTTCTTGTGATCCATTTAGCAACTTTGATTTTAATTAATTAGCCTTAAGCTTTTGACTTAAGCAGGGTAAAGAGGAAATTAATTTTGTACAACCTGTTCTATTAATGTAACAAATGACCACTTCCCAAATCTGCATGCAAATTAGAATGTACTCATACACTGAAATCCAAATTTTTCAGAATTTTGTTGAGAACTTAGCTGCAATTTTATGAAAAAAATGGAAATGTAACATAAAAATGTGTTATAACTATAATGCTAAGAAAAGTACATACAAAATGCATATATATGAAGTCTTACACAAATTGGATGTAAGTTTTCATTCAGCTTTTTTGCCAAATCACAAAAGGAATTGACAATAGGCCAAGATGAATTTACAGTCCGGGAAAGGAGTATCTGGGTGAAAATGACATAGGCAGATTCATTTGTGCCTTTAAATAATGATAAGGTAGACACATGCACCCCACTCACACCCCCATGATACAACAACTATTAGTTGGATGTGCAGGCCTACAGAATCTATGTTCCTGCTGTAATTCTATTTCATTAGTCTTGTTGCTAGAACAATACCTAAAAAACTATTCCAGTGAAAATGTAAACATTAATGGAATGACTCCTGGTTTGGATATGGTCTCAGATGCACTAATTTTTCCTTCTCTCTCAGGGTGTTGATCCAAAAGATGGTATTCCTTACGAACAGAAATTCTGCAATGGTAATTCCTTTCATTGAAAGCTTCAAGGTGATGCTAGTTTGTAAATATCTGGATACAATGGACTGAATTCATTGAAAACACAGGGCTCCCTGAAGACCTTAGGAATGGACAAAGTTCATGTAATACCATGCTTATAAAAAGCAAATGCTAGGAACACAATGAGCTGGCAGCATAGCCATTTTTATCATATTTGCTAAGGCTAAACTCAGAAAAGGGAAGTTCTGCCTATAGCAGTGTTTTTCAACCTTGGCAACTTTAAAATGTGTAGACCTCAACTCCCAGAATTCTCCAGCCAGCATGGGAGTCGAATGGGGGAATTCTGGGAGTTGAAGTCTACACATCTTAAAGTTGCCAAGGTTGAGAAACACCAGCCTATAGGAACAGAAGGCAATGATGCACAGCCTTGATTGGCTAATAGCTGTACTAATATCTACCCACTCATTTCCTTCCGGAGCAGTTTTGCAAAAATTATTTAAAATGAAATATTAAAGAAATAAAAATGATTTCCCCCTCAAGTAGTGCAACAAACACTGAATTGCAGAAATGTACATGCTGAGTTTCAATATCTTTTAAAGGCAGGCAGCTCACTGAAGTGGGAGAAAAAACAAAGATGGTAACTAATTCACCATTTGGGATGGAGACAAACATGCCTTGTCACTAAGGCAAGAGGAAAGCAGATTGTCACTCCGCCATAAAAACAAAAAACACACAACACAAAAGACCAACTGGGGTAGCTCCAGAGTTCTATTTTTTTCCAGGGAGTAGGCAAGCATGTCTAGGGATCCAGATTTGCTCATTTTCCAGTTGCAGAGCCAAGTATGATAATTCTGCAACAGTCTATCCTCCTGGAAGGTTAGATCTACCTATCTGTCCTTTTACAATAAATATTTACAAGGAATATTATTATCTACACCAGAAGTGTAGAACTGGAAGGGCCACTTAAGTTATCAAGTCCAATTTTCTGCTCAGTGAAAGAATCGAAATTAAAGCCATCCCCGACAGATGGCTTTCAGTACATCTACCACCTGTCACTATCAAATTCCTCTTGCCATTAGAAAGGTTTCCCGAACATTTAATTAGAATCTGCCTTTCTCTAAAAGAGAAAGACAGGGAACATAAATGTTGAAACAAATCTTTTAACAAGGAAATGTTTTAGTTATAAAATCCATCCTCTAGCATAGGAAATGGTCGTATCATTTGAATCACGTGTCGTGAAAAGTACATAGTGTCACAGATTTGGTTCTGAAATCCCAGGATTTAGAATACCACATCTCTGTCCTGATAGGAAGGCTTGAATGTCAAGAGTTGTCACAAAAGTAAGACCTCTGGGAAAAGAGTTGGATGGGTAAAAGACAAATTCTGTGAAAAGATGTAGAAATTGCTTAAAACATCTGCTATTGATATAAGGGCACCCCAATATGCATAACAATATATAAATCAGGGGTCCCCAACCCCCAGGGTGCTGACCAGTACCGGTCCATGGTCTATTAGGAACCAGGCCACACAGCAGGAGGTGAGTGGCAGGCGAGCGAGCGAAGCTTCATCTGTATTTACAGCCACTCCCCATCGCTCGCATTACTGCCTGAGTGCCACCTCCTGTCAGATCAGTGGTGGCATTAGATTCTTATAGGAGCGCGAACCCTACTGTGAACTGCGCATGTGAGGGATCTAGGTTGTGTGCTCCTTATGAGAATCTAATGCCTGATGATCTGAGGTAGAGCTGAGGTGGTGATGCTAGCGCTGGGGAGCGGCTGCAAATACAGATTA